ATTTCACGTTGTTGTTTTGCCGAGGATGGCAAAGAAATGTACCAAGAATTATAACGCAAAGGCACAGCCATTGTTCTGCTATTTAATCTTTTGTTTAGCAACGTTCCCGTTGCCGTCGTGGTTTCTTAAACTCCCTAGTGTGAACGTAAAACTCAGTGTATTTAGTGTAAATAAAATATTTGGTATTTATTTTTACATTGGACTGTTACAGTCCCTACAGCTAGTTATTGCAGTGGTAACATTTTGTGTATATTAGGCATAAATTATCAGTCTAGTTTTTGTATGCTTCATGTACGGACAATAATAACAGGTGTTTCTTCCAGCAGAAAAACGTTTATTATTATCTCTTTGGTGTTTTTCTATCTTGGTAAACTATTATTTCCAGGTTTTCTTTGATTTAAAGGTAATTTTGGACATGGCCAAAATGACTCAAGATGTCCTACAGTCTAGAATGGGGGACCGTTGAGTGATAGGAACTGTACTGATCATCTTTCCGTTACGTTGTGAGGAAGTTTCGCTGGCCCTGTTCAAGTTACATTTGGAACGACTTCGGTTTTGCTTGAAGAAAAGACGTGCTCGTACAGCAATGCAGCGATGATACCGCCTGGTATGGGTCCAACCCAGTAAACCTTAAAAAAAACGGGGGAAAATAACAAAATAAAAAAAAAGGCAGTGAAACGTTCATTATTCAAGAATGCGTCTTTGCACCTAAAATCGACTTCTTACAATGTTTCAACAAGTTACCAGATAGCATTTCGCGAGCAAAATGAATCGGAAACCGGCTGATTGGTTTAAATTTTAAAAATTGGGATAAAAAGGTAAATCCAGCCCTCTTGGCTTAACACCAATTTCTGTAGCAAGGGCGTAGGAATATTACTACCCCACTGGATGAGATGCTAGCTCTTTCTCTCGAGTTGCTTCAACGATTCACCTGTGCCCATATACACGCCAGGGTGGAGAGAGGCACTGTGAGAGTAAATTAGTGTCTTGCCTAAGAACGTAGAACAATGACCCCGGCCAGGACTTGAAACCTGACCGATCGATCTGTAGTCTAAGTGCCCTAACTATTTTCTTGGCCACCCCGCTTCGCTCTCAGGGGTACGTGGACGTAAAACAGGTTCTCTCGCTTACCCAATGATGTTCCCAAGAGTTCATGATCAGGGCGGGCCCGAATGACCGCGCGGGATTCATACTGCAGCCAGTGAAAGGAATCTTGGAATAAAAAAAAAGAGTCGATCGCAAAAATTAGTCATCTTGCTACCGATTGCTAAATGTTCATGAACTGATTTTAAGGAGCTTCTTGCGCTCGTTCAATTTTAACAGAGGAATCCTAACATTCAGGCTAATTTCTGCATACCATGATTGGGAAGTTTGTATTCAATATAATGTACTGGTGGTTGTTTTTTTGTTTGCTTTTTTTGTTTTGTTTTTTTTCTAACAACGCGCGCTCTCATTGGCTACTTCGAGATCACCTAACTGTTTTCCGCCAAATGTTTCCCGAGCGGGCAACATTGCTAAATCTATGACGTCAGGGAGTAACAGTGAACTGTTATCCGCGAATTTTGACCGACGACCACCGTTGGACACCAATTCTTTAAATGTCTTCATTGTGCTGTGTAACAATATATACATTCGCGGGTAACACTGAGATTCTCGGAAAACAAAATGAACTGTTTCCCTCAGTACCAGTCTTTTTAAAGACTGGTACTGTTTTAAAAGACTAGTACTCTTTTTAAAGACTGGCACTGTGTCAATGTTTAACATTTAAAAATGTTAAACATTGATACAGTGTGAAGTCCCTCATGTTGATAGCCTGCACACCTCAACCCTGAGTCGAGACAAGTTTCTGCACGTACAACCAATGCCCTTCCTTCTAGGAGACAGCCGTCCAGTTATCTTAGTCCCGTGACTAAGATCTAGCGATCACAAATTTGTTCCAGCTCCTTTTTCCTCCCTTCCCCCGTCCCCTTACCTTCCCCCGTCCCCCTCCCTTCCGCGCAAAGTAGGTTGTTCCATTCGCTATACATTCCTTCCTTTTACTCATCAATGTCGACAATGAAGGAATCCTATTCGCGCAGTAAGCATATTTGCGCACATTTGTGGAGGGAGAGAGAGAAGTTTCAATTACACCTTGGAATATTTTGGTTGCCTTGGTACAGTATTTCTAAGCCACTTTAACACACCTACCCCAACCATGTGACAGATGAACACACACAATCCTATGGACAGAGGTATTTCGTACCCTCGATGTTCCTTTCCAGGATCAGTCGCGGCAAAAATGGTGAAAATCAGCACAAACGTGAGAAGGAGCTCAATTCCAAAGGCCTGGGCACCATTTATCTCTTCCGCAGGTTTAGTCACTCCCAGGTCCCCGTGTAACCGAGGACTTGTCAGACCATACAAAAGCGCTGCTCCTAAAATTCCTGGTAACAAAAATACGTTTATTTCAAAGGTGGAGTTAGAAAGTGTAATTGTTTAATTGGCAGAATGTTAAACACAAACAATGCTTAGTGAGTAGGTTCATTCCTTGGTTCGTTCGTTTCTTCGTTCGCTTCGGTGATTGTTCGTTCCTTCATTGGTTCCCTCGTTTGTTCACTCGTTCGTTCTTTCGTTCGCTCCCTCGGTCGTTCGTTGGTTCGTTCGTTCCCTCGTTTGTTCACTCGTTCGTTCGTTCCTCGTTCGTTCGTTCGTTTCGTTCGTTCTTTCGTTCGCTTTTTCGGTCGCTCGTTGGTTCGTTGGTTCGTTCGTTCCCTCGCTCGTTCGTTCCTTCGTTCGCTCGCCCTCTCGTTTGTTCACTCGTTCGCCCATTTAATGATAATCTGTCTTTTACAGATCCGTATGACAGGGTAAACGTGAAGCAGTCAAAAATGTCATTCAGGTTTTCAGCCGGAAAGAACATATTTTTATCTTAACCACTCAGTGGCACGACCCTTTCAACTGTACAAACAGAACGTTTGGCAAATATGGAAGCCTCAGATATATAAAGTGTATTCCGGAAAAAAATATTTATTTTTCGTCGTTGCTGTTTGTTTTGAAAGACGGCACTGTGTATATAATTTTAGCTTGCGCTATTCGGTAGAATACGTCTACTGGCAAGCTTTGTACATAAAGGAATCTTTTCCAAAAGCAATACCAGCCTTGAGTTGCTAGTTCACAATCCTCGATAGCAAATTGCACAGTAGATTCGCGAAAGATACCATCCTGACAGGGTTTCAGACGCATTTCAATTGTGAAATTAAATCGCTTTTGTGAACATGTGCTTTTGCTCTGCCTCTATATATAACTACAATCTTAAATTTTCTGTCGGTCCAAGATATTGTAAAGTTAAGAACCAATGTCAAAAAACTGTTGTAAACTGATGGGGCACTTGAAAAGTGGAACCCATTCTAAGAGTTCAGTTTCCTTGTAAACAGCTATTTTCCTGTAAAAGAAATATTTTGTCAAGTTAGTGTCCCTAGGTTACAAGCCTTTATAGGTAGTTCTAAGTGAATTTTGTATAGAATTTCAAATCTGTGCAAAAACTTACTTTGCAGTAAGCTAGGCGCGAATTTCTGGGAAACAAGATTTTAAGGTAACGTTGGGTACAAGGGTCACCTTTATGTACGAATTCAAAATTACAAACTTGGATTCAAAATTAAATTTATTTTCCACTATTTCCTCGAAATTTTGCACTGAATGAAACTGTCGCACAATATTCGCTCTCCTGGTAACAGAGCTCACAATTTCTTTCTTTCTTTATCCTTTCTATCTTTGTTTCCACGACATTTCAAATGTAACCGAACTGTCGAACAATATTCGTTTTCATGGTAACGTAGCTCAAAATATCTTTCTTTGTCGCGCAAAAAGTTAACCATGTACTTGCTTCCTTTAAATCTGTTTTTTAGTGTAGTTTATTTACTTGCGTTCGGTGTACTATTTCACCGGTTAGGGCGGGATTCATTATCGGGAGTCCTCAGATTTTTTCTTAATATGTACACTCTGCCCCCACAAGAATATATTTTATAAGAATATCGAGGCTGAAATTTTCAAAATTTTAAGAATATTTTAAGAATAAACCCGAGGCTGAGATTTTGATGAGAATAGAATTTTTGTGTTGAAAACGTTGTAAATACAATACAATTATATATTTTTAACTAAGCCGCGTAAAATTCTTCCTTTCTCTAAATGGCAAAACTAGCCCAAAATACAACAAAAACAGCACTAGCTGTATGTTTGATGCTAATAATATTTCTCAAAGAAGTTACGTGTGCCATATACCAGGCTTCAATCTAAGAATATTCACAAGAATATTTTCAGCCTAAAATCGGCAGAAAAAATATTCAGCTCGGACCGGGAAAACAATATTCTTCATAAGAAAAAAAAGTTCAAGTCAACTTTGGCAAAAAAAAAAATTGATGGAAAGCAGAAATTTATTTTAATAAACGTTCCGAGGACCGCTATAGGGAATCTTGATAATTATCACAGACTTTAATTTAATAAAAATCAAGTGTGCTTTTTGGCCAACGCCGAGCGTAAACTAAAATGGAAACATGCAATGACAAGTGACACGTACGGATGTGTTTGGTTACCGAACAGATAAGGTTTTTGTTTTTTTGTGCCGGCTTATCACAGATGCCAGCTTTATCAAGAACATCGCCAGTGAATGCATGCGGAGTTTAAACAAAAGTGCTGTGGCGCTTCCTATTACGTTTTTGCGAGACAAAATAAAATTTAAGATTGCATGATTAAAGAAGAATAAATTTCGAGAAAAAAAAAAACTGAATATCGTACGTACATAAAACACTGCGTACATTCTGTCTTCTTCGTAAGGTTTACACCGGTTTTGTAGCTAATTTAATTTTTTTTTTTTTTTCAGCAAATGCAAAGCTTAAAATACACGGTAAATTGTAATTACACCTCGGAAACTACAATTAATGGTATGGAAATTTCCCTGTATCACTTTCTTTTTGCTACGCTAAGAAATATAAACCGGAGATGAAAAAAAACAAAAACCAGTGTCCGCATCTTCTAGTTGCATGTTTGCAGCTTACCCTAAAACAACTACTCCGAAAGATTTGAAATATATGTCTTCCTATGACTTCCTTTTAGTGTTTACGAGTTTTTTTGACTGCCTTCACCTGTTTACCGCTAGTCAATGACAAATTACAATTGTAAAGAAGTATTCTTGTGAACTTTTCATTTGCGAATTTAAGTTGGGTTAAATAATGAACAACTTCGGTCTTTGGAATAGAAGTATAACTGTCACAGTGATTTTATTCCTTTGTCGCTTTTAACTGATAACACGTTCATGTTTATTTTCTATTTTTCAGGCCCTCAGAGGCTGAAGACGAAAGTTTGCGCAGTCAAACGATTTTATTTGAATTCGCCTGACTAAGTGACGTATTCCTTAAGCGAAACGTATTCTTTACGCTTTGAATTCATTAATTTCATCATTTATTGCCGTCCAAAATAAAACCCATTACAAGAGCCGACCATAAAATAAAAACTTATGGTTAAGAACAAGCTTTTTTGCACATATCGGGAAAAATAAAGACAATTTCTTGCTTAAAGATTTCTAGGACCAGTGAACTAAACAGGGAAACCCGTTTGTCGTAATTTTCTCATTTAGAAGTCACCATTAAATATAAGATACATATACCTGAATGCGCATGAAAAACGTGAATGCACGTTTAAAATGTACTAGAAAGTTCTTCAAACGCAGTGCGGTTTATTTGGATGTTAATTAGTCCCCTCGTTTCTCGCGAGCGAAAGTGTTGAAAAATATCCATCATGGTGTAGGATATTTCCCTATGTACACCTAATTTATCTACCTCCAAGGAGCTGCGCCAGCGTATAAAACACCCCTTCTAGGATCGAGATTTTCCGTGTTGCCATCAACGCAACGCTCACAACAGGGTTTATGAGGCCTCCGCTCAGGTGCCCGATCGTCATGGCTAATGTGGCGATGCTAAGTCCTGCAGTGACGGAGACGTGTAGGACAATGTCAGAGCTGCTGTACCGGTTTAACTTTGACCCACAAACCAGAAAAACAAACATCGTTGTCGCAAAAAATTCTCCTCCGGCACAAATCCAAAATTTGCGCTTTCGGAGCGCAGTCGCGTCCGGCATGTTTGAACTGCTAATGCCAGTCGATTGTTCAGCTTCAAAATGTCTTAGCTCACACAGCGCGCATCATTTATGTTGATTCTTAACATGATTTTGATGCATGGTCGTCAAACAAAATTGTTCGCTGCGCGCGACTATTGGCTTGGTAGCAATTTAAGTTTCTATTTTTGTTATGGAGATCGCTTCCTGCCCTTAACATCATGTTTTGCCCAGAAAATGGCTCGCAGTCTGAATATTTTCAATACATCTTTGTCAGATGCGCGTGTTTGATTTGTTATTATTTGTTTCCGTCACTGCAAAGTCAATCAAACTCTGCGATATGACCAAGAACTTGTACGTAGTGATGTTTTTCTAAACATTTGACGGATGTTTAAATACTTTTTATGATGTTTTTAGTAAATTTGGGTTTGCGATATAACAATTTGCTATGGCAACAATTTTCACCATGTGTAAGGACCATGCGAATTCACAACTGTTTTAAATGACTTCAATAGGGAAATAGTAGGCCTTTCCACAAATACCCGGATTTTTTTTTTTTTTTTTTTTTTTTAGATATTTAGAAGTTTCCGAGATATTTAGGTAATATTTAGATATTTAGAAAGTCTGGGGATATTTAGAAATGGTCACAGCTCCTTTTGGCTGAGCCCTGTGTTTTCCTCTCTATTTTCTTGAAACAATTCTTATTGCTATGCCAGAAACAAGACATTTTAGCAATTTCCCACTTGAAAAATATATTCGATATCACTAAAAGCAGTAAAGCAACAATTTTTAAAAATGGTGGATGCTGGTTACATCGATGCGCCAGAATCTTCTTCCTCTACTGCTTCTGCAAGAAAATTTTGAAAATTTCGAAATATTTATATTTGGCCTAAGTGATTCAAAATCGGTTTATTTTTAAATCACAGATAAGAGATATTTCGAGGGTTTTTCTAGATATTTAGAACCGTTTAGCGATATTTAAAAAAATTGAGAATGTCCTGGAAAGATATTAAGGCGATTTTACGTGATATTTGTGGAAAGGCCTAGGAAATAAAATACAGCTGTGGATTGTTTGACAAAATTATTCGCTTTGCGGGAGGTACAGTTGCAGTTTTATATTTTTTCTTGTTTTTAAAACACCTCGGTTGCATTGTCTTTCTGTAAGCCTTGTTTGTTAATGCATTCTAGTTCATGGAGGCTTCACCAAGTTAATGTCGTTAGTATAATTCCGACAAACTTGCCGCATTCTATGTCGCAAATTGTCGAATCTGATTAGCTCTCGCATTGGTGGCTATTCACTCCTTTGTCTATAAATCGAGAAGCCCTACATTAAACGACCGTTTGTGGAGCAACTTTAAAACAAAAGGTAAAGAATTACATCGACTTCTAGACAGGTTGCAGTTGCAAGCTACTAAAAGACAGTAGGTGTTAAGCACCGACGTTCAAATGTAATTAAATTTCTTTGAAATAGGATAAACTGTAGAGAGGAATTAAAAATAGCTGATACCCACCATCAAGCAGTGTACTTCTTTATAAAAGCTATAGGGTGAACAAATATGGACGCAAACAAAGAAAGATTTTGAGACAAACGAACGAACGAACGAATGGGCGAATGTATGAACGAACTAACGAACGAACGAACGAACGAACGAACTAATCAACCAACTAACTCGCGGTGAGAGAGCATAAGAACGAACGCAAAAACGATTGATTGAGTGAAGGAAGGAAGGCAGGCAGGCAGGCAGGCCTGCAGGCTGGAAGGAAGGAAGGAGAGAAGGAAGGAAGGAAGGAAGGAAGGAAGGAAGGAAGACAGGCAGGCAGGCAGGCAGGCAGG